GGTACCTTTTATTTCATATATGTTCATTCTTTTATTGCATTGTGAACCAAGAGTTTCACACAACCGGTCGAAAGAAAACAATATAATTAGTCTTGTTAGTTGTTAAAGAAAAGTTCATGACATTTGTTTTATTTTTGTTTCTGGCTCAAAATAAAATTCATTAAATGAATGATCACTGTTTTACATGTTACTACTCCTTTTATTTATTTATTTATTTTTTTCAAAAACACGATATTCAAAATCAAATCATATATAAACCACTCATAAACGAGCTATAAACCAAAACATAATGGAATTTAGAAATCGGTGACAAAAACAGGCCTTAATCAACCATTCATAAACCGTGAAAATATAATTGCAGGAAAAAATAAATATTTCATGAATCATGAATGTGTAAATAAAAAAATAAAAAAAGATTTTATAGATGAATGGTGTAATTTTCTCATGAAGTGAAGGATCAACCAGTTTGTTAAATGGGCAAATTCGATCCTACTGTTTCATGCGCTTTAATGTAACATACCGACAGTTTTGTTATGGAGTCATCCACACTTATTCACCAATAATGTATTGACACGTGTTTGTTTATTAAAAAAATCATCTGATGGCTCCATAGAATTTTTTAACATACCGACATTTCGTACACAAAAATTGATGTTCAAGAATATTTGTACATTCGTCAGCAGGTTTTCAACCGTTGCATCAACATGTTTGTTTATTAAAATTTTTAAAAAAATTCTAACATTTTAATTTAATTACTTTTTTAAACTCAACTTTAAATATCATCAATATAATTAAATAATATCAATCAATCATTCAAAAACACCACATCACCTTAATACACTATTCCACTCACATTATTTTAACTAACAATCACTTCATATCATCTATCTCCTACTTTTACATCAAATCAATTTTAATTATTTTATTTTAAATATTATGTTAATATACCCACTAACAACTAACCATACTACCTTTTTCAAAATTAACCAAATCAAACCAAAAAATTCAACAAAACCAAAAAATTCTATAAACAAACAAACATGCTCTTACATTTACTCTTCAATGCAAAAACCTTTAGTCCCATCCAGTCCCTATGTAGTAACATTCTCATCGACAATTTCCGATCATTTCCCCGCGCCGTGTAAATGAAGCCGCAATGAAAA